TAAGACACAAGAACAAAAAAAATGAACTAATGCCAAACGATGTAAACAACAAAAAGAAAAGTTTAGAACAAGAACCAGACAAACGATGTGTATATCATAGCTGTAAGGAAATCAGTATGCCAAAATATTCAGTGGGATAACGGTTCAGATGTGTCAGATTTTGGGGATGATCGACACCTCGCTTGTAACTTACTTAACATGAAACAGAGCAGTCTTTCTTTGAAAAGTATCTGGTTTCATTCGAAGAGTTGTGGGAACTTTCAGAATGCACTTTACACTGTACAGTTGTTACATGAAGGCAGGTATTAGATGAAGCACCTTCGAGATCTTAACACATGATTTCGTTTAAGAAAATTACCGACTGGGACGCTTGTCGTTGGTGTTGAGGTTGTTGATGAGCTTGTCGTTGATTCTACCGTCGAGCTTGCCGCCGAGATGACCGTTGAGCTTATCATTGAGCTTGCAACTGAGGTTGGGATTGAACGTGTCGCTGAGCTTGTCACTGAGGTTGCCACTGAGCTTGTCAGTGGGATTGCCACTGAGCTCGTTGATAAGCTTGGCACTGAGCTTGCCACCGGGCTCGTGGATAAGCTAGTCACTGAGCTTGCCACTGAACTTGGCAGTGAGTCTGCCTCTGACTTCCTACTGAGTCTGTGAATAAGCTGGTCAACGAGCTTGCCGCTGACCCAGTCGCTGCGGTTGCCAGTGAGCTGGTCGCTGAGCTTCTCACTGAGGTTGCTACTGAGTCTATGAATAGGCTGGTCACTGAGCTTGCCGCTGGCCTTGTCGCTGCGGTTGCCACTGAGCTGGTCACTAAGCCTACCTCCGAGCTTGTCGGTAAGATAGTCGCTGAGCTTGTTGATAAGATTGTCACTGAGTTTGGCACTGAGCCTGGCCCTGAGTTTAGCACTGAGCTCGTCACTGAGGGTGCCGCTGAGCTTGCCACCGGACTAGTGAATAAGCTAGTCACGGAGCTTGCCACTGAGCTCGTGAATGAGCTAGTCGGTGAACTTTCCACTGACCCTGTCGCTGAGCGGACCACTGGGCTCGTGGATGAGTTAGTCACTGAGCTGATCGTCTGCGTGCTTGTTTCTTTGGTTCCTGAAAGAAACATGTGATTTATGCAAGTTTCAACGGTTTTGTGGTCAAATGTCGTGTTTGAAAACTGAAAAGATTTCTGAGATTGGGTGTAGGTGCTGGCTCTCCAGAGACCAGCTTCAAAACCGGAGTTATAAAACATTGAAGGGATGTATTTCGATTAGTGTATTTGATTGACAGGTGTGCGCCAATCAAAACCTTGTCATTTGTGCAAGTTTCAACGGGTTTAGTAGAAAACCAACCATTTTGAAGACATTTTGTTCTTAGCCTAGCAAAGGGCGAATCGATGGAGAAAAATGAGCTAAAAGTTCAATAGCTAGAAAAAGTAACTACTTTTATTGACAGATCTATGAATCTTTAAATTTTTCCATGTTTCCGTAGGAAAAGGTAGAAAAACCGTGATAACTTTTGAACACAGCACGATGCACCGAAATCCGTTTAGGGTTTTTACGAGGTCGATATCGTGTGTGGATCGAGATATAAATCATTGGAAATGGAAGGGGGGCACCTCGCTAGGTTCCCTGAGTATTTTCCTAAACTTAATTTTCAAAATGTGATTATGAGAAATCTAGAATAATAAGGAGGAAGAAGCAGTTACTGTAACGACTATTTATAAAAGCCTTCGCAAAAATTGCCGCACCAAGACAGAAATTTACGAAAAACGAATGCTTTATTTAATAAAGTGGTATGGGGTAATAGAGAGCAAATGGCTTATAATACACTAAAAGAAAAGGGCCCGTCTTATTAGATCCCGTACAAAGTTCTCGTAGAACTTTGCCAAAGAACCTTTAACCGTGAGCAGTATAGGAGGACAGAAGGACAAGTATTTTAGTTCTTATACGATATTCCCAGTATTGAGCACCTAATACCCTCACACTATCGAAGACAGTTTGTATGAAATTCTAATATATCGAACAGCACTCGAGAAAGTAGCAATAAAAACCCAAAATTCTCACTTTAACAAGGGTAGCAGGCATGTGCGTGGTTTGCATGTTCGTTTTTTCCCTGCTTTTGTACCACACAGAACTGGAGAAGTCAAGATTTTTTCAAGTCTCAGTCAACGAAAAGATTCTTCAAGTCAGTCAAGTCTAACTTGACTTGGAATAGAGGCGTTTTTGTCT